TAAAAAATGAGTTGATGATGCGTTGTCTCATTTGCATTTCATTTTATGACTTGTTAGCCATGGGCTACAAAACGCAATCAAACGGTGTCTTACCAAACTCCTAACCAATGTATTTATACTTTTAATACGCGAACATCTCCGCTAATCTACTTAAGTTTATGGTGAGTCCACTCAAACGCTTTTCACTTTATCATGCAATTTAATTGTCACAATAATTTCCATCCCATATAACTTGTTAAGTATTGCTTTTTTACCCGTAATACACCATTGTTCCATTGACTTGATGGGTTTTAGGTTGGGATGAGCGCTTCGTTTGTAGTGCGTATCTTGCGACCCTTCAATGCTTCAGATGGAGACTGGCATCATGGAGCGACTGGATTTTGTGTGGACCGATAGTAGACCATAACGCTTGAAGGTATTCATTCACGGTCCCCTCCTCACGAGATTTCAAGAGTGCTCTCTTGAAAGTGTCGACAAATCTCTCTGCTGGCCATTGGACTGAGGATGGTAGGGCGGTGAGTGTAAGTTTTCGATGCAATGCCGGCGACAAAAGTCTGCGAACATAGAAGACATAAACTTGGAGCCACTGTCGGACGCCAAGACCTTGGGGAGTCCATGTTGACTGAAGATTCGCTGCAGACAGCCCAGCGTGGCAGATGCAGTTGGCGGGTTGACAGCGACTACTTCAGGCCACTTGGAGTAACCGTCGACCACAAGCAGGTAGGAGATGCCATCGATCGGACCAGCATAATCGATGTGTACACAAGAGCAGGGTTTTGCTGTCTGTTGCCAAGGAACTGGTGGTTGGTGTGGTGGCATCGTGGATGTTTGTTGACATCTTGAGCAACGGCGAACCAAATCTTCAATGTCCTTGTCAATACCAGGCCAGTATACATAACTGCGCGCAATTTCCTTCGTTCTGTTCACACCGAGGTGAGCAGAATGGAGCTGTCGGAGTACAGCTTGCCGGACGCATGAACGAACGACAACTCGATCTGCAGTCATGAGGCAGGAATCGATCACGGAAAAGGAGTCGCAACGTTGATGTAGTTGTTTGAGTTCACCAGACAAGGCAGTGTTCGGCCAGCGCACTGTGTAATGACAGCATTCTGCAGGACAAGGTCTTGTGCAGTAGTGCGACGTATGTAGGCAACAGTAATAGGGTGACTTCGGATAGTGTTCGAGAGTTGATGACGAACTTCGTCCCGACGGTAACAGCGGTGATCACCGTGCCTTGTTCTGTTTGGAAATGAGGCGAGAGAGTCCGTCGGCTTGATCGAAATCCTGAATAGAGCAATAGCGGATTTCGAAGTCGTAACCAAGAAGATGACCGCCCAACGCTGAAGTCGGCTAGCCGAGTATGCGGGAATGCCCTTCTTATAACCGAAGAATGAAAGTAATGGCTTGTGATCGGTCAATAGCGTGAATCGCCGGCCATACAGCATCTTGTGGAACTTGGTGACGGCAAACACGATGGCCAGGGCTTCCTACTCAATCTGACCATAGCTATCCGCAAGCGTCAGGGTACATGAGACGTGAATAGCCGCTTTTTGAGAACTATTCGGGAAGAGATAGGAGAGAACTGCTCCAATCCCGTAGACAGAGGCGTCAGCAGCGACCAAAATCAGCAAGGTTGGGTCCTAATGAGGCAGCAGTAGGTTAAGTCAGCATGGATTTCAGACGAACAAAGGCCTTCTCGCATATGGGTGACTAGTGCCAAGGGATGTCTTTCTGCAACAACCGATTGGGCGGTGCTTGAACATCGTATAGCGATGGCATGAAGGGAATGTAATAGCTGATGAGACACAGGAAGGACCTCAGTTGGGACACATCCACTAGAGCTGGCACCTGCTGGATGGCTATGACGTTCTCAGTATCAGGATGATGGCCAACGGCATCGAAAACAAAACCAGGGTATTTGATCGATGGAAGTAAGAATTGACATTTCTCAGCTTTCAAACGGAAACCATAGGCCTGGACACGGTAAAGGACCGCAAGCAGGCGCTCTCGAAGCTCTTCTGGGGTGTCACCAACGATGAGTAGATCGTCCAGGTAAGCAGTCGTACCCGGAAATCCAGAGATCATGGTGTCCATGGTCTGTTGGAAAATCGCCGGAGCGGTCTTGACACCAAACGGGAGCCTGGTGTACTGAAGAAGACCACGGTGTATGTTGATCGTCAACAGGGCTTGTGACTCGGGGCGACTTCGATATGCAGGTAGGTGTCTACCAGGTGGATTTTAGCGAAACACGCACCACTGTTGTTGTGAAGAGGTCGGCTGGGATCAGTAGGGGGTAGCAATTTGGCTTTAGCGCAACGTAAAGACAGGTGGAGAAATCGGAGCAGACGCGAAGGGATCCATTCAACATCTTGACTACGACGATCGGCGCTGCCCAGACAGAATAGGACACAGGCACCAGGGCGCCCAAATCTTCCAAGCGTTTGAGTTCGGCATCGACGAAGGGTAGGGCTGCGTACGCGAGACCTTTTGGAATGGAATACCGGTTGAGCATCAGGTACGAGTTGTAACATTGCGCGTGTGCGTGTAGAGCGGCCAATACCATCTTGGAACATCGGATCGAACTGTCTGATGAGGTCGTCGGTTCGGTCGCCTGGTACTGCCGGAGAATGTACCGCATTGCAGATGGCCCGAAGACGAAGATCGGCCAAGCCAAGGGTTTCGAGCCAATCGAGACCGAGCACGTTGAGCATCGCCTTCGTGATGTAGTAGACCTTGTTGAATGTGGTTCCTCAGGAGACGGAGCAGTGCAGTTGCCCAGTTGGCTGCACGCGACCACCACAGGTGCTGGTGGAGGTCGTTTGGAATGGAGGCTTGTCAAGTCGGCGCCAGAGATCCTCGGAGATGGTCGTGATGTCCGACGCAGTGTCTAACTGCAATCGGGGGACTAACCGTTTACCAAGATGTCGACGAATTTGCTGAGATCCACAGAGTTGACTTGGAACGTGGCTAGCAGGCTCAGGGTGCTGTCAACCGGACTAGGTTTGGGCTTGTGTCTGGGTCGGGACCTCTTCTTTGCATCGCGAGTGTGGACCAGCCCAGTTCTGGCCCTCTCGGGAGTTGTAGGATGGCAGTAACCATTCCGACGCCCCACCCTGCCACAACGTTGGCATCGGTGTTGGCGGAAATTACAGTCTCGGTGGAAATGCCATGCATCACAGAATCCGCACGCGTAGGGTGGGGAGTTCGCTCGGTCGGATTGAGTGGGGTAATAATAATATATAATAATAATAATAATAATAATAATAATAATCATAGTGTCAGCTGTACGCCGAAACGGCGATTCGCTGCCGCGCGACCACCACCAGTCGCACGGGGGCTGACTATACCGCGAGGACGCCCACCCCTACGCGGATTCGAACCGGTGACCTTATGGTTGCAAAGCAAACGTGCAGACCACGGCCACCGGCCGACATTGAGTGGGGTACACCGGCGAATACGCCCTAGGTGTTGCGAGTGACTGGACCATACCAGGTGCGGCGGCGTTCTGAATCGTAGCAGAGGCGTGCTTCAGGTTCAGCAGCGTTTGACACTTCTCGGCCAGGTTCTGGAGTGTGACAGTGATATCCTGCTGTAGCTTGGATAGGAGGCGCATCCGGATATCGACATCGTGTGCAGACTGGAGACCACAGACGAAAATCAGGCATTTCAATTGGTTCTATGGGAGCGTGCCAAGTTGAAAACGTTGGCATTCACGGTTGACCACGCCCGCGTACTTGATGAAGTCGTCGGCACCACCCTTGGCTAGCTGCAAACATTGATAACGGGCATTGAACAGGGAGATATGCTCGCCAGAAATAGGGGACAAGGTTCGACCGTCGCGTTGAAAGTAACGTCTCGAGGGCCCTTCGGCAAGATGAAATTGGTATAGCATTGGTATTCGAGCGTACCCTGTTAGCGCAGAAACAGCCGGACCTTCCACGCGTCATTCTGGCAGGCCAGGTCAACGGTGAACAGGTCCTCGTACCGCTAGTACCAAGAATCGAACGTTACTCCAGCCTTCGGGTCTCACGGGAATTCGCTTATGCCACTAACGACATGGTCCACTGATTGAGAATTGCTAATCGGACCTGCGTGAAGGGGAGAACTGGACAGTTTGTCGGTTAGCACGGATATCAATTTGAGTTGCGGCTGCAGCATAAGTTTCAAGTCGGCGTACTCGTCTGTCATGATTCGAAAGTTATGACGTCGCCACCGTAATGGATATACACAGACCTGATCGCGTCAGCTTAGACGAAAGTTACGCGTAACACAGTCCCTATTCACGCACGAATTCGGGCGACACGCTGAGTCCCTGAAAAAAGATAACGATACGCACGCGCGAAACTTAAACGCACATGCAACACATGGCTAGAGCGGCGCACACGAGCACGTGACCACAGGATACCCAACAACGCACAAAGGCCGAATCACAGTTGGAACAATGGTTCATTTTGTGGGTGAAATGAATCACCGCGTGAGGCGGGTGGTTTACGAAAGAACATTGTTCACTTTAAGCCAATTGTGCCCTGAATCCGGGTGGCTGGATCCTGCTACGTTGTGGGCAGGAATTGAACTCTGCGTCTAGCAGCCCACGCACACTGGATTTTATGGCGCATTTTTGCGGGGTTACTTGACGTTCCCGCGACAAAAATACATCGCACCGCGGAGTAGTGAAAATTGTAACGAAGCTACCGTCTGACTGATGTCATCTTGTTTTGTTTGTGACAGTGTGGTGCTGACAAGACATAGGTGGATTGACCTTGAATCCTTGTTAACAGCACGCGCCTCTCCTCAGCTACACCAATAGTATAAGCCGTCTGGTAATGTGTGCTATAGTTGCAACAGAGCAGCTGCAAAGAATACCAAAGCATAGCTGCGGATGAGAATAATGAACACTACTTGAGCCTTAGAGGTGAAGTATACGAGGCGCGTTGAGGATTGCAAAGATTCTAACGCAGACACGCAGTCGTGTGCCAACATCACACACATACAATACTAACCATGGAGTATGTAATCCGTTAGCATTGGAGTGAGGTTGGGATTGTTGGTTAAAATGGCTAAGAGCATTTCGTTGAACAACTGCAGCTCCTCAACAGTGGGTCCTTCGTTATGCGCGGAACGGTGGTAGGGTATTGTCGTGGACAAATTCTGAAGGACACAGTAGAAAAAAGTGAGGATCATGGGTGTGAGCGATACGTGTCAAAGATTTAAAAGAAGGTATCAGATGAAGTGAGAAGGACGATAACGTACTGTTATTCTAAATAATGCAAGCAGTGCTAAAATTCATGCGACTCTCGACGAATGTATCTAAACTGAATAGTGCCAAAATCATTACACCTGCGTAAGTGCTGACACGTGGTAACTTCGGAGGGAGTATAGACACCACAAGCACTACTCCGAAATCCCGACACATTCAGTACCGCTCTAATTCAGTCCACCCCAGTAAGCAAATCCCTATGGTTCAGTCGAAAAGCGGTAGATTTAATCAATCTGATTCACGGCGCCAAATAATAAGAATACAAATAACAATGGCAGGTGGTTGCAGTGGAGAAAACATAAGGCAACACCGTCAGATGAAGCAGGTGTGAGCTAAGAAAAACGAAACAAGGTCACCACCGACTTCGTGCCTGCGTCATGCCCAATAGGGTACCCCAAGCACTAATGTAGTCCATGTTTATGCCCACAGTTAGTAAAAGACAAGAACTAACGCTTCTTAGCCCCTCAGTAGGTTTCTTCATGCTCCTTTGTCATAGCGTCTATTGATTGCATCGGAGTTACATCCAGGTAAGTGGGTGCATGCGGAGCACACGATGAACCCAGCGTAGGTAATCCAAGCACAAAAGATACTTTAAGGTAGATCTGTTGCCAAACACCAAGTATAAAACTTAAGTATTACCATACTGTTTTTTCCTAAGCAGGTAAGAACAACAATTTAATGGCATCGGTGTATGGGCGCGGCCAATCCCTTGACGTCCCCAGTGCGCGGGTTTCTGATCCACACAGCAGCAGGCAGTACAGCGGCGTTGCATACCCTTCAACAATAAGTGTACGCCATAAAGTCTTAAAGAGCTGCACCGATGCAAATAGCAAACACTTCGGTGGCGAGATTATCCGGGAACGTGAAGTGAAAGATCACTTCGAATGGGTGTTCGGTGCTTTAGAAAGTTGGTAATGTGTTGGCCAGTCCAGTAATAGTACTTTGCACTTCGAAGGCCGCGAAGAAAGCGTGCAGCGCACCTAGCAGAACCTTAGCTGCAGAACGTATGAAAGTCAGTAGCTTTGACGCACTACATTTGTCGCAGTGAATCCCGATGAAAGCTTCCAGTGGGACTAATATCACGACGTTTCCCATGAGAAATCCAGCTAGAGAGCGTTCACTCACTGCGACAAATAGCGTTGAATATAGCAGCTGGATCAGTTAACTGACTCAAACAACGGTTCGGGAGTACAAGGCCGGCAGAATTGCCACTCAGTGTCCAGTCCAGCATTCAAGCTCATGCGACTAAGTGAATTAGATGTCCAGCATTCGCAGTCGACGAGCTATTTATTAGATCTGCGAGTTGAAAACAGCGATGGTGCTGTTTTTCTCCAATTTACAGGCCATATCATTCAAAAAACTTCCTGACTAATCTTTAGATCGTTAATCAGAGCACGTATCAAGGTTTTTCGAACGCTGAGAGTTGCAACACGACAGGACCACTTTTCGTACTGCAGGCAAGCTAAGCGAGGTCTCGGGTGCATTCAAACCAGGTAAACTAGTGGCCTCAAAGGCCATGCATAAAGCGCACTGTGGCGTCTCTGTCATGTGCCCGGTTCGTCTGTCAGTGGCTAAGAAACGTATAACCAGTGATCCAGTACGCCGTGGTGAAGCTGCGTTGCCAAACAGTCGCGCGTGGACCAAGTATACTGCGAGATCGTCCGCAGGATAGAGGTTCAATCCATCCATGAGTTCACTCGTAGCCCGCGGAATTTCCCAGCGAATTGATTTGTTGATACGGATCTATGCTAGGGTGGCAAACTATTGCGTATGTTTCCAGTTCGGTGGATACGTGTGAATCAAAGGCTACCAGCGCTTAGCCGTGTGCGGTACCCATAAAGTGTAAAGTTAAAATTTGGAACACAATGCTCAACAATCATCTCTCGTGTGATCATGTTGGAACATGCATCCGAAGAGTAATCACTCAGGGAAATCCGTGGCAAGTGAACCACCCCGATAATTAACTGACTAGCGGTTATCATGATGTCGACTGTTCATTTTCCGCTCCACATGTTAGTGTTGAGAGAGAGCATAGCTATAGTTCCTGTGGTTCATCAGCCATATTGAATTCCCCTGCGCTTATGAAAACATAGATGCTCTGCGGATTGCAGGCGAAAGCGCAGAGGTGCCTACTAGAAGTTGAATTGTGCATGGTAAATCTCCTGTGTAGATTAAGAAGAAGGTAATGCCAACGGCAATGGTAGGTCAGTGACTTAGTATATTACATCGGAAAGGAATCGGCGCATAGCGGCAATTGTTTAGGGGCGCCGAATGGCTGCACCTGAGATGTACACGATGCAGATCGTTACCAAATAACTTATGGTCACAGAAGAGTACCTAGCGGTAGGTACAAACGGTTGAGTACTTGGATGACAGCCATGCTACGTCTTGGAAAACTGCAAAACAGTGCGAACGCTGTTTTGAGAGTCGTAAGTTTGACAGAGGACAGCGGGACTTAATTGATGTAGTACTGCGGTTGTTATCGCGACAACGAGGCCGTAAGCGGTGAAAATGTGATAATACCACCAGTCAATGCTTAAGGTTGCGCAAAAGCCGTACTTTGAGAATTCGTACGAACCTTGGGTAGCAGATGATCGAACCGGTCCAGTCTTAAGCAATGGTCGGCGACATGGAGAGCCTGTAGTTAACAACCCATCGCATTCGCACGCTATGAGATCTCCTCCATCAGCTGCGCAAACCCAACTTCACATATAGGAGGCAGCACCACAATACACACTATTTTACTGTACTACTTGTTTATATATCATTCTACCTGGTAACCGTGCTGATGACAGTTGATTCTCTTTTCCTATATGAGGTCAGTTCAAATATTGATGCCCAAGATTTGAGGCTGTCATTTATGCTCACGTCTAAATGTGGAAGAAAACACCGACAGTTCGTATTGGGTACTTATCCTCGCACGTGTGATTTCCCATGACTTGGCGAAAATGGCTGTTAGCCTTACATCCAAACTAAAACCATGCACGTTTGTGGGAGTTCATGAGGTTTAATCATAGTCTTCGTAGGTTAGGAAGTCGTTGAAGGCCTTCTTCCCGTAAAACCTAGCCATGGGAGACAGCAGTTCTATAGGTTACAAGCTCACAGCTCGAATGGCGTAGAGCACGAGTGCCACGCATTGTCTCTGATGGTGGGATGGCACTTCCGGGTGCTCAATGGTTAGCTACTGTCCGACTCAAGCCAGGCAGCCCCTGGTCAAATTGGTACAAAGCCGCCAAAACCCACCTGCGTCTGGCCGTGGTCGTAGGTGCGTATGTTACTACGAGCACAAAACATAGATGAACCGTTCCAGTACCTCAAAGGTTGCGTGTGACAGTAGTCAAGCAGATCTCAATCTGTCTCTGCAATCACATTCCCGAGCTGGATCTGCTCCCCACTGCCTTGTAGGTCAGCCTATTTAATCAAAGGCTCCGGGTGGAATCCCTCAAGCAAACCTCCGAAGCACAACGACCATCTCGCGTGCGATTGCCCATCAATGCAATCGTATGCCTGCACGTAAAGCACTCAGCATTGGGTGCTGAAACGTGCGCACACTACTGGACCGGAACTCCAGTGAGCGCCCCGAGCGACGCGCTGCAATGGTCGCGATGGACCTGGAGCGCCACCACATCGATATTGCGGCGCTCAGTGAGACTCGGCTCGCTGAGCAAGGTAAGTTGCATGAAGCAGGTGCTGGCTACACATTCTACTGGGTGGGCAACGCCGCCTCAGCATCACGTGAACATGGGGTCTGATTTGCAGTATCCGATGGTCTAAATGGCCAGCTGAGGGGTGAACGAACAGGCATCAGCGCGCGACTGAAGACTGTTCGCCTACGACTCGGAAGAAGTAAGTTTGCCACTTTTATAGCAAGTAAGGCCCGAGCACTGTTATTCTGATGACACGCGTGATCAATTCTACACTCAGCTATCCTCCGTGATACGATCTGTGTCAAGGAGCGACCGATTATTACTGCTGAGTGATTTTCGTAAAACTATGTGTCGCACTCGCACCGTGAAACAGTTTAAATTTAACATTCTCTCCCTCGGTACTGTGGCGAAACGTATTGAGCTGGAGAAGGCGATGGCTGCATGACTGATATGGAATGCATAACCACAGTGGGCGATCTGTGGCACCACATTCGCGACCAGGTGACAGCTGCTGCCGAGGAGACCATCGGGCGCGCAAACTGTAAGCAACCTGATTGGTTTGGTGAGAACAATGCGACGATTGGCGCATTGGTGTCGGAGAAGAATGCAGCATTTGCTGCGCATGTCGCAGACCAGAGTGACTTGGGGAAGAATAGCCAATTTCGCAAAATTCGACGGCGACTGACCCGAAAGCTGCATCGCATTAAAAATGCATGGTGGACGGAGAAGGCGAAGCAGATAGAATGCTACGCCGAACGTCGCCAACACAAGGAATTCTTTGACTCATTGTAGGCGGAGTATGGACCGAGATTGGAGCAGCTGAGGACGCTGATCGATGGTGTTTCAGGCGCTACCTGCACACAGGCTGCATACCTGGCATAAACACTTCGAGGTCCACCACAGCTCAGGCTATCTCCATCTGATGAGTCCAAAGGGGGACGAAACCGGTTATGGGGTGTCCTTGTGATCGTAATGACCGAGGTCTGTATTAAAGAGAACCGCCTGATTTCCAAATACAGCGTGCTTGTGTTTAAAGGTTAGGGAGAGTGATCCGGCTGCGTTGATGAAACGTGGCCCCCAGCCACATGCCCCCGGTCTTATTCCTTCGAGTTTACAGTGGATATGGGATGTGTGGTTGGTGCAGCGCATGTCATCCATGGTCGCTGTAGGCGGAGGCGTCCTGTCGCTGTCCCCGTGGAGGCCACAGTGACAGGTAAACCCGGATACGGATGAACTCAACCATATATATATATATATATATATATATATATATGTCTTTATTAATCTCGCGCTTAAGCTAGTTTGTTTCTCTGTATTTCATGATATATGGCACCATGAGTGAGAGAGTTCGCTGCTGAAATTTCTTCGGTTGTATCGCGACTGCGAAAATTGGTCAACAAGAGAACCCATAGTCCTTTAGTTGATAGTTTTGGGCCCAGTAGAGTTGAGCAAAGGAATGGGTGTCACCTAATGTTGCTGCAGTGACAACAGGTAATTACGGCAGCGCAACAAAACGCGATCGTTACCGTGTCTACCAGGGGCACATGAATTAAGTGACTGGCTGGCAATCGCAGGAGAAAGAACCTGTCACACAAGAACAAGTTAACATAGTGAGCTTAGAAACATGTAACAGTAACCAGAATGCTGTGCTCTTGTAAGGGGAACAATGTGCGGCAGGAATGGCATATCAAAAGAACCGTGTACGTAGTGACCCAATGGTCTTAACCAAGGAGGGTAGCGGGCTCTAGCCTCAAGATGGACAGATGGGATGCACATCGCTGAGGATTCCCGAAAGGATGAAACGACCATACAGGGTATTTCAGGCAGTGCAGTAGCTGTCTGACTGAGTGTGACTGCGAGGAATCTCCATCAAAAATTTAATCCAAATCCAATATCTTTGTATAAACTTGGAACCGACTGGGAATTCATAACAATCTCGGAAGATTTTAAAGTACAAATCGGTTGTTTCAAACTTGTATTGCGGCAACATTTCGCCCTTGACACAAGAGCTTAGCCTGATGAAGCTCTTGTGTCAAGAGAAAAACGTTGCCGCAATAGAAGCCTTAAAACAACCGATTTGTACTTCCAAAACCTTCCGAGATTATTAATTCAAATCCAGGCTCTCATTATCCTGTAACAATTATGTAGCCCAACCACCGTCCCACACAGCTCAGTGGCTTAAGCTGCTGGCTAGTTGGCATCAGCCTCAAGCGGTCATGGGTTCGATCCCCAGTAGGGGACCGAGGGATGCGCACCACTGACAAGCCCCAACAGTGTGAAAAGCGCGGCTGTAACTGTTCCGGATTGGCGGTTGTGCTATGTAGCTTGTGAGCTGTTGAGAAGAGTATATTAAAATTACAATTAAAATCCTCCCACTCATCATCATTATCATCAAACACGTTAGCAGCAGGTGGAAAACACCTCCTACTCATAGGTAATTCTGACAACAGTTGGCGTGTCTACACAGTCTCGTAACAGTACACTGAGCTTTTGGGGGACGTGAAGTACACTCCAACGCGCGCGTGCTAATTCAGCAACACTTCCTATAGTAGCCGGGTCCAACACAGCTTCCATACGTCATGTCTAATGTCAACGCATGCGTCTATGCAGAAGTGTGGAGATTATTCTGAGGTGGATACATACCAACATTAAACTGAGCGTTTAACCGTATAGTTCCGGTGAGCGATAATTTTCATGGCTCAATTGAACGTGAAAAACGATGAATAGCCATAAATCGATAGTGAACGGATACTTTGAACACACCTTATATTCCAGATCATCGGAGTTTAATTCGTGATTTCCAACCAAATGTCCAGACGCTGAATGCACCAAGGTTGAGGACACAATTGGAGAGTCCGCGTGGGAAGATGTTGGAGTAGTTACAGCGGAGCGTGCCTCTCGCATGTAAGTGGTAGGGGTTTTAGAGGATTCGGAACGCCCGCCCCTTCGGTGCAGAAGAGCACGTAAAGATCCAGTTGTGCCAGCGGTCAACGCCTCATGCGCTTTCCGACTGGCCCACTTGCGAAGGCGGGCTATGGTGGCAGCACGCGATGTGGCCGTCGTATCCATTGCAGATGCCGTCCTGCGACAGCGCTCCCGCTGGTTCAAATGCGCTTCCTGGGAACCGCTAGGTGATCTGACACAGTTTGCATCCACCGGTGCGGCACTGTAAGGATGGTGTTCAGCAACAGCTGCATCAGTCAACTCATCGGCACCACGACTGAGACGGTGCCACTTTCGTTTCAGTAGCGTTGTGGCCGACGAGGCAGCCGCGACCGCAGCTTGTGCGGCTGACTGAGCGCCTGAAAACAAAGAAAAGAAATAAAATGGGAGGAATAATGCCTGGCATTAAAAACAGATGTGCTCAATTAAAGGGGCAATGCTGAGATTATCAAGGCGATAAGGCGACTTGATTGAATGGGGGACGCAGAAGCGGTGGTGCGTATGGCTCCTAGTACAAGGCAGCCTGAAAACTGTATACTGAGCTCCAAGACATTGAACCGTGGCAGTGGGTCGCCGGTAAAGATAAGAAAACTATTGGTGCAAAGAGCCAGTCAGAAGGTGCTGTTGATACCCGTCAAAGGAATCATGCAGAGCTAACCAGAAAGATAAACGTCCCGATAATAGTTAGTGGCAGCAGTAGTAGTGATGGTGACGGTAGTGATACTGCTATAATTCGGTGATCTCACGGAAGTTAATGATTGAGTAGTTGTGCATGCCACTTTAATCACTTGATCCAGTAAGAAGAACGAAGCAGACCACAATCAAGAAAATGCAGTCGAATACAGCGGAGAATACGCGAGAATGTAGTACATAACACTGCAATCGCTGCGTGGCAAGCAAAAACAAACCAATCGATTGTGATCGCGAGTCTTAAGCACAATTTTCCACGTGCGGCTCAGTCATAATGATGATGGCGGGGGAGGGAAGACACAGATCACTATAGAAACCCCCTATCGGATGGCCAGAACAAATCGCGAGAACATGATCATCAATCCGTGAATCGGCGCTGCGAGAGCACGAACAAGCTTCCACTATAATAGTGTTTCCCCTTGTGTCACGCGTCATTAAATTCTCTGCCGTTCCTGAAGGTGTTTTGCACATAAACTGGCAGCCTCTATGCAGTTGGTCAAAATTTCAGAGACTGCAAAGCTCACCTGTAGAGAAAAGGGTCCACAATCTACGTGACGGTGCAGTTTTCGACGGATGGAACGAGTGCAAACGGCAACAGTTCACCCATCGTCCCAGGCATGTCCTGTATGCTTGCTTCTATCACGATTTAATGACTCTCAGGTAGTCATCGCATAAAGTCGTGTACTGCTGGAGCAAGGGTGCGTCGATGACGTAAAGGCTGGTTAGCAGATAACAATGGTGAGAACAGGAAACTGTCCCAACTGACGGGAACAGTTATCCCGATCGTTAAGAGGGCTCACGTTCGGCAAGCGACAATCATAGCATGATCAGTCTGATCTTCATTACCTCTAACTTAGTTGCTTCTGTCGTCCTTCACAGGTTAACAGGTGCCCGTGTAAGCCGGATTCGTGAAGAACAAGTCGGATTTCGTTGAAATCGAGGTTGAACTGATCACATCTCACCGTGCACCAGTTATCAGAGCACCATCACTTATATTGGCAATCCTCTTAGTCGTGTACCGCGACATCAAAACGCGCCTTAGATTCGGTGGATCGATGTGCCCTTTGGGACTGTTTGATCAGGGATGTGTCCGATAAATAGTTAAACATTATAAGAGCGCTTTACGCGCATAGTGAGGTCGGAGTGAGAGTTTATGGTAAACTTTCGCTGCACTTCAATATCTCCAGCGATGTAAGACAGGGATATCCACAGTCACCTTTTCGCTTCAACTTCGCTATTGACGAAGGCAGGGAAATGGACAAGATTTAAAAGGTGTGGATCTGTTCTCAAGCGAAAGAATTCCTAACTTGAAGTATGCCGAAAATATTGCACTGAGCTGTCACAGCCCAAGAACTTGTCAAACAACATGGGATAAATTAGCGTTGGTTGCAGTCGTTTCGGACTTTGGTTTGCAGCCTCCAAATATAAAGCTTTCTTCCAAGATTGGCAGGGACAACTCCGGCGCTAATCCTTTTTGAACAACTGCCATGTAAGTCAATCAGAAATGCAACTATTTTAGGCAGTAGCATCAGCATATGTGGAACAAAAATATGGTCACGAATCTCATAACTGAAGCTCGAGATGCTTCACCAATATTTTCATTGTGGTGCCGGCGCGACATCATTCTAGCATTGGATAGTAATCTACAATGCAGCCGTCCGTTCAACCCTACTAAAAAATAAATGGTATATTCCTCGAAAATGCTGGAAGCTGTACCCTAATGGGGAGTGAAATCTGGTCCATCAAATCGATGGACATATAGAGGCTGGTTATAATAGACCACCGGAGTTTAGCTAACGTCTGGTGGGAACACCGCGTGAGCGAAGATCATGTTCGCGTCTTGTATCCGGTGTAGAAAAATTAAGCAAGCTGAATTTTGCGTTGTTCTCCGAGTTAAATGATCAGTATGCAGATGTTTCGTTGCCAGACTAGGTACTCTATCTAGAAGTACTCGCAGATTGTTTCAGCTAATTCGGACCACTGGTCACAGAAGGTCTGGTGTCAGCGAGGTAAAGCTGTAAGGCGAATGGGTCACAAACCACCAAGTTGAAAAGGAGCATGGACAGATGGGTTGAGCATTTCCAACCATAGTTCAGTTATTCCCCGTCGTCCACTTTCGCACTCAGCTCGCCCCGTCGAACGCCATGGGTAGTCACCCTAACCACCCAGTGAGAACGAAGTTCGCCTCGATATTAGACACTTGAATCGCTTTAAGGCTGCTGGTTCAGACGAGCTTTATGCAGTACCGTTCATATACGGTGGTACAGAAGTTGTAATTCAGCTAAGGTCCATATTTCTGAAAATCTGGAGAGAAGAGTATGTCCCCTTTTCATGAGGAGAGTCAGTTATTGTCCCCGTCTTCAAGGAAGGCTCCCGTACTTTATTTGTCAATCACAGGGGAAGCAGCCT